TTCTGGGCTGCGCCCGGCTTTTGTATTCGCCTTGTCTGCTGTAGCAGCGCCTTCCTTGCCTGGCCGCCGGCTGAGCCTGATTCCACCGACGAGGGAGGATAAAGCCAGGACGATGCTGGGACTGTCGCTGTTGCTGGGCTTCAGCACCGGTTGGCTCCTGTACTATTGGGCGCGCGTCCCCAAGGTCAGCATTAAGCACTGGCATTGCAGCTTCCCTGGGCGCGCTTGGCGGGGCGGGGGGCAGGAGAAGCTCTGAGGCGACGGAGCCGAGCCAGTTTGCACAGCAGGGAGCGACGCGGGGAGCGGCTTCTGCCTCTTCCCTCCTTCGGGGGCGACGGAAAATGAAAATGATTCCCAGCTTCACACAATGTTTTTCTGCCTTTCTGTCGGCCCCCAAAGCAAGGTTCTTTCTCTGACTCCGGCTTTCCATCCTTTCCGCTTTCTCCTGCCTTACTAGCGGGCGTGCCCTTGTGAGAGTTTGCCAGAAAGCCACTAAAAGGAAGCATTCTGCACTTACACGCTGTGATTTCTGCTCGTGCTAGAGGAATAGGAGGAGGAAGGAGTATTAGCTATGTTCGCCACCTTGAGTTATTTATAAAAATAATAAAGGCGGGATAAAAAAGGAAAAAGAAAAGAAAAAGAAAAGAAGAATTAGGGACTAATTAGGGACAGAAACTCCCCACCGGCTTTCTTGCTTTCCCTGCCCCCTCCTGTTTGCCTCTTTTCTGTCCTTCATGTGTTGGCTTGTTCTGGCCAACATACAACTGCCTTTATGTAGTTTTCCTTTTTCTATGGAATATGCATCTCCTTCTCATTCAGGGATGTCCAAGACAGTCTTTGGTTGATTTTTATCATACCTCTAGCCAAAACCTCTCCAGGTATTTTGTCTGTTTGCAATTATGCCCTTCCCATAGGTGGAGACGTGCTTGCTGTTGCTGCCAAGTGTTACTGTGCAAATGCCTTTGCAGCTTGGCTAATTCACATTGTTAAGAATCCTAAATTTATTTTGCACAACTAATGCAGCATACAAAACGCTCCCTCCTGTTTTCCCCCCAGCAACCACACTGCGAAGTGGGCTGGGCCCAAAGTCATCCAGCCAGTTTCCAAGCCAAAGGGAGGACTAGAACTCTCAGTCTTCCAATTTCTAGTCCAGCACTTTAACCGCTACACCAAACTGAGTCTCAGGAACATGCTGGCCTAGACAGCTGGACCACTGCCCCATCAAGAGCCAAGAAGCCCTAGACAACCTCCATTAGGAAGGCTAAACTCCACTCCACACACGCAGGCCTGCCACAAAAGACATTATCCTTGATATCCAGGGGGAAACCCATGCAGAGTTTAGCATTTCACACTCAGTTGAACCTTGCATTACAGATTGAATTTTAAGAAACCAAAGTTGTTTACAATGTAAGGACAAACTAGCTGCCTGCTGAGAAGCAGATCCTCGGATCCTATTACAAAATCTGCGCTATGCATATACGTTGCCTTCATTGTTATGGCTGTACGGTTACTAAATTAGGGCATATCATTCAGAGGGATCAGCTTAACCCCAATTCTCCCTCCCAGAAACCTAGCAGCTCTGCAATCAATGACCTTCAAAAATAATATAACAGATGACTATTTTCATTATAATCTTGACTTGCTTGTCTGCCTGCCTACACATGCCTGTATATCTGTATGATATAAGAAGAACCCTGCTGGATCAGGCCAGTGTTAATCCTCCAGCAGTTTGTTTTCCACAGTGACCAACCAGCTGCCTCTCAGCCGTTACTCATTTGCAGCTGCTGGTTGGGAGCAGGCAACCCCCAACCCTGAGAGAACACTAAGTCTTCCAGACCAAGGACCCTTGACAGGCTTCCCCTCCATGAATTTACCCAGTCCCCCTTTAAAGCCATCTATTGCTGGTCATCACCACAACTTGTGATAATGAATTTCACAAGTAAATTATCGGCCGGGGGAAAAAGTAGTTCCTTCTGTCTGTTCTAAAACTTTTCCCAGGCAGCCTCACTAGATGGCCTATGGTCCTAGCATTTTGAGAGAGGAAGAAAAATTTATTCTTGTCATTTATTTTTACGTGCTTCAGTCATATCCCCCTCAGTCACTGTTTTTCCAAGCTAGAGGGTCCCAGCCACTCTAGACTTTCTTCATGGGGAAGGTGTTTCAGCCCTTTGATCAATTTGGTTGCTTTCTACTGTACTTTTTGAAGCTCTGTTATATCTTGTAATTAAAATATCATATAAACCTTTGATTAGCTACTTGTGGTATTGAAATAAGTTTTTTTAAAGGAGAACTTCCTTCTAGTTTGCAAATGCTTTCCTGCCTTGTTGCTTCAGTGTGATTCATCTTCTCCATAGGCAAGTGGATGAGTGGTTGTTCTTCCACAGATGCTGAGGGGCAGTGGGGTCCATCTTGAGTTTGATTTGATTTGTAAGCTCACTCTCTGTGATTCCACTCGTTCCTTTGCAGCGCCCACTATTGGTGGCTTGTCAGCCTTTCCGGTCCTTCTTGGAGAAATATTGTCCCATTGTGAAGGAGACGTTCTACCCTACACCATGGTGCTTTGAGGGTCGGCTTCAGACCATTGTCCGCGTCTTTATCAAATCCTGCCCACTTGTCTCATACCATAGGTAGGTCCACTGTGAGAGAGGGAGGTCATTGCTACTTCTGGGCACTGTTGGGTTGAGGTAGTGGATATGACATTAAGGGCCACTCTGTCCACATTGCCTTGTCTTTTTACTTCTCATCCAGTGAACTGCTGCAAACTGCAGATGGAGGGCAGCTGTTCCTGGACTGGGCTGATCCTGAGGATGGAAGTGCTTGCCACCCTGACCCAGAAAATTGCCCCATTGTCCTGTTTTTGCCAGGCTTGACAGGCAACAGTCAAGAAACGTATATTCTGCATTTGGTACGCAGCGCTCAGTGCCAGGGCTACAGGTGAGAATCACAAAAAAACACACGTGTAGTTCTGAGACTTGGAGAACAGGATTCCTTGCCACTTTGGATCAAGTGTCACGTTCATCTGGGAGTTCGGTTCTGATGGCTATTAAGTAGAGAAGCTGTGTCAAAATGAAGAATGGGATCTTCTCATGGAAACTTACTATTCTCCCTCCCAGGGCTGTTGTCTTTAATAATCGAGGGTGCCGAGGAGAAGAGCTGCTGGTAAGTGCTATTACAGTCTAGCACAGACTTGCCTTTGTGTGTATATGTTGGCAGCTGGATTGGTACACACGCTTTATAACTTCATGGGGAGGGAGGACGTGTCTGTCACAGGTGACCCATATATATGTATGCCTCTCTCTTTTCAAAGAGGCAGCTCTTTGCTGCTGTTCCAGGATTGTTTCTGGGTCTCCCATCCATGTCCCTCTTTCTTATTTTCAGACCCACCGGGCTTTCTGTGCCACCAGTACTGAGGACTTGGAGCTGGTGGTGGGTCACATCAAGCACCAGTTCCCTTGTGCACCATTGATGGCAGTTGGCATTTCTCTTGGCGGGTGAGGTTCAGGTTGGGCAGAGGAGGGGAAAATGGGGAGGCATATTTTTCTGGCTCCAGGGAGTGTACCTGGAGGAGGCAGCATCTGAAGTATGGCTCTGTATTTGACACTGTAATGGATTCTTTTAATTAAAGGAAGGAAATCAAACCAATGGCAATGTTGTGCCAGAGATGATGATATCATCATCATCATCATCATCATCATCATCATCATGCTCTTCTTCCCAAATGTACCAGTATATTTCAATATTTTGAATTTCTTCTCCCTTCCCATTTACTGCACCATTGACTTCAGTGGACAAAAAGGATAGAGGAAATATATAGATATGGATATGGATATAGACGTAGGACAGGATGAACAATTGTCAGGTTCTGTATGGTTTCTAGTACCCATTTTGTGGATTTAGAGCATTCCTAGATTGCACCAGCAATATTTAGCAGCACAATTTTCAGTAGTTTGAGTTCCTCTGGTTGCTAAAATAAGGGGCACCATGTGTGCAGGAAGACTTGATACACCCGTTGGGCTTCTTTAAACTCCCCA